CTTCTCTTTCTATGAATTCATCGGTGTCGCATGGATGAATTTATCCACATCATCAGCGTAAAAATGGTAGCTGAGTTGATACTTTTGTATTTCAACAGCAAGTGGTTGTGTATACATTGTAAATAGTGCAGGGACTATACCATCCTTGATTCCAAACGTGTTGACCCTGTCTTTTTTTCTTCTAGCATTTCAACAAGGAAGTCAAGATCTGGAGGGGGGGGGGGGGGAGTAATACTTGGGCAATCTCCCTCCTCTATGTCTACTGTCCAGGATATAGCAAGCTTCATGACAGACAAACAGACAGACAGACAGACAGACAGACAGACAGACAGACAGACAGACAGACAGACAGACAGACAGACAGACAGACAGACACAGCGTCATCAAGCTCAGCATGGCCCAGGAAAATCTGCATCGTGCATTCTGCTTCGAGATCGTGTGTCAGCAACCAATGTCAACACACTTTTATGTAGGCCATTTGTAAAAACTGAAAGTGTAGGTGTTTGAATGGGCGATTGTGAGTGTGCTTGTGCGTATTCGTCTGTATATCAAATAGAGTTTGTATGTGCTTGTGTATACGTGTGTGAGGCGTCTTGACCTGTGAGTGTGTGCATGCGTGTGTGTGTGTGTGTGTGTGTGTGTGTGTGTGTGTGTGTGTGTGTGTGTGTAAAGAAAGTGGTATTAGAAATCTAAAACCTCATAGCAGGCTAATAATACTACATAATTTATTCGGTGCTTGCCAACAGGAACCACACAATATACGCTTATGATACCCTGTTCCACCTTGATGCATTAACTTTGCACTGGAGATGAATTGAACGTTATCTTAAAGGAGAAATGGGACATATGCGGGGGGTGAAGTGGGACACTGTCTCCCAGTAATCTCCTGACCATGGGGACACGCCAAGTTTGATTCTTTATACATATTTAAGAGTTAGTAATCACCCTGTCACAATATGATTGTCTAATAAAGTTGATATATTACTATACTAAATGAAACTTACCTTTAGCTGAAGTTCAACACATTCGAAGTCGAAGCAGAGAGACAGACAGTGGTCTTGAAAAATCTTGCAAAACTAAGTGGTCTCTGGAACTTCAAAACAGAAACATAAAGTTAAAGGAATGTAACAGCAAACAAAATTCATAGTAATAAGTAGTACATTCATTTATGTACGGTTAATTTTGGTCCACAAAATGACATGTTTTGGGCCTTGTTCAAGTTTACCTGCGTCCCAGTTCTCTCCACTCCCTCCTTTATATATTGCGCAAAGATATTATATGGACTGAAGAAACGGTAAGTAGGAGTAAGTAAAATGGTATAGGTTTTACACCCCTGTCAACATCATTGTTAATTTTTTTTAAAGAGGCAGGACCTCCGAGTTTCACGTCCATCTCCGACAGGACCGTGCACACGTTAAAGATCCCTTGGTGATCTAAAATCGGCCGGAACACGGGTCAAAATTCAAAATTTCCTGCCAACTGAAAAAGTTTAATGTGTCCCACGCGCTCATATGACCTAATGCAGTTGCGAGCACCGTAAAACACTTACCAAAAAAAAAGGAAAGAAAAAATAAATAGCAGGAGAGCACTTGGGAGTTATGACTTGAGTGTGGCCCACCTTCGAGCGACAGGTAGTTAAGGTCGAACCATTTGCCTGAAGCGGGCTCGTCCTCTGAAAACCTCCTGCTTGCTGTCCCCTCGCCCCACGAGTTTTCTCCCACTGTTCATTTTGAGTTGTGTGTGTGTGTGTGTTTGTGTGTGTGTGTGTGTGTGTGTGTGTGTGTGTGTGTGTGTATGTGTGTGTGTGTGTGTGTGTGTGTGTGTGTATGTGTGTGTGTGTGTGTGTGTGTGTGTGTGTGTGTGTGTGTGTGTGCGTATGTCTGTGTGTGTTTGTGAGTGGTGCTGTGTGTGTGGTTGTGGTTCAAAAAAAATATTTACCAAAATAAAATAAATGTTAAAAATATATAAGTGTGTACGTGCGTGTGTATTGTGTGTATGTGTATACGTGTTTGTGTGAGTATGTGTGTGTATGTGTGTGTGTGTGCACGCTGTGTGTGTATATGCATGTGCATATGTGGGTGAATGATTGTCTGTCTGTCTGTCTGTCTGTCTGTCTGTCTGTCTGTCGTCGTCACCAACCTTCCAGACTTGATTGTTGTTAGATCTATATCCCTTTAACTTTCTGTTTCCGTTATCAAGTTTAAAAGACGCCCAGTTTTGCTAAACCCTTCCACGACCAGTTTCTGTATCCCTCTGTCGAATATTATGTTAAACTTCAGCTGAATGAGTATGTTTCATATAGTCATAAATTAATTTTTATTAGACAATCATATGTGAGAAGGTGAGTACTAACTCTTAAATATTTATAAAGAATCAAACTTGACGTGTACCCAAGGTCAGGAGATTACTGGGAGACAGGGTCCCACTTTACTACACCCATGTTCCAGTTCTCCTGAAAGTTCAACTCACCCACTACAAAATTGTTGCATCATGATGGAGCAGGGTGCAATAAGTGTACGCTTTACGTTCTCATGTTGGCACGTGGTAAATAATATGGTCGCTTTTAAGCACAAGGGGGCTATCCTGAAAAAAACTGTTTTGAGAAAATCGAAGGTAAAGTTTCTGCCCCTTCTTCAGTTTCTTTAAAAGACAACGAGAGTTTTCTCTATAACCAAACGAATATACGGACCAATGAAACCAAACATCTCCTATCCTATAGGTAGGGCAATGCCCACTTTTGGTATAGGTCAAGATTTCTGGAAGCCCCAGAAATCTGGGTTAGAGCGCTTGTCTTTAAGATCGACCATATTATACGATTAGCCTGCTATGTAGTTTTAGATTTGTAATACCACATTTCGTCGGCCAGATGAGTAAATGTCATGAGTCCTAAACGCAAAAGTTTTCAGCAAAGGAAAAAAAACCCACAAAAAAACCTGTATCATTCTTTAAAAACATTATACGTACACTTCGAAACAGACAATGGTTGAGACAAATCATGTATTTATGAAAAGGTGTTTTTGTAAAGAGATAATTTACTAGGTACATTGTTCGGTCCCCTTTTTACTCCGAGAAAATTGTACTAAGCTGTCATGCACAACGATTTATTACGTCAAAAGCGGGCTTGCTAGAGGACAAATCAGCATTCAGTTTATCGTAGCGTCCATAGAAGATATTATTGATAGCTTGTAGACCTTTAAAGGGTAAAACACAGAATATATTATTATATTGTCAGACAAGAAAAAGAAAAGATTCTAGTAGAAATTGTTTTACTAGTTTATTACAGACATCGTCGAACTGCTCTCTTGACAATTTTAATACATCCCTACACATGAAAAGTATCCAAATGACGACATGTTCTTGTAATTGCTTCGAAGTGCTACTGGAAATATTATATAGTTATTGTTAATTGTGCGTGTAAAATACTTTGAAAAGTAAGTGTTCCATATCACCTTCCGTTATTTTTTTTTGCAATGGGAACGTTAATGTAGGGTCATATAATTCATCGCTCGCACACACACGCACACACACACTCACACACATACACACACACACACACACACACTCACACACACACACACATACACACACACTCACTCACACACACACACACTCACACACACACACACTCACACACACAAACAGGACTTCTCTGAAGCACAAAAATGGACACTCACCGATTATCTAAAGACACGTTTTATGACCTCACAACAAACCAGACACGTGCGTTAACCTATGGAATGAAATGGCAATACAGGACAATGTGAACGTTCCAGAGTTTTGAAATGACAATACAGACACTGGTAAAGAATGGTTATTCCATTTTTTTTTACCACTACGTCCAGATTTGTCTTAGCTTAGTGATTACCAGTCGACGAATGAACTTAAGACATTTTCCCAAAGCATTCCTCATCCATGCCTTTCACCCCTGGCAGGGTATAGACCACATACAAGCTCCTTCCATTTAATTTATCTCTGTCCTGGACCATCCTTCCAAGCTCGTTTCACGTCCAAGTGAGCGTCATCTCTGTCTTGTATTAGAACACTAGATTGCTTTTGCTTGTTCTAGCAAGGACAATCGAGCGATTTCAATAATGGGCACTCACCAGAGTCATTTGTCAATGCTGTCTATTGAACTTGCCATAAAGAACTTTGTGCATGTAATCCCCTTTCCACCACACACAAGCAATTCAACACAGACATTTGATAGGACTCTCTGTGATCCCATACGAACAGCTCCATGCTCCAAAATCCAGGAAAGAACATTACCATCTACAACAATGGCATCTTTGATGAGCAATGCACGGATCAAGGCAACCACCCCTGAAAGCATTGTGTCTGGCTTCTGAGTCTCAGGGATCTGGCCTCTGAATGAATTGCTATTTAAAGGCGATGAATTTTTGCTGTCAGCTGTAACTGATCGACCACTGCAAGATCAAGAGACATAAGCCTTATCTCCAACCACCCCAGTATCACCTCCTACCACCCGCTAAACCATGTCCCACTTCACCCCCCCCCCCCAAAAAAAGATTGATATATAAATTAACAATTTTTTAAAAATCACCGTCCCAATTTAGCTGCCACTGTCCCAGTTCAAACGCGTATACCATGTTTTAAACCATAAATAATCCTATTATTGATTTGAAAAATAACTGCATATGCTTTTTGTGTTATTGTACTTTGGGTGTTGTTTCACGTTTAACTTATATGCTCATATCAAATCTGAGTTTAACAAGTGAAAGAGAATAGACTGTTAATATTTGTGACAAGCCAAAGAGCGTCCCAGTTCTGCCGGCTCTTCCCTATATTCGTTAGGGTACTGTTTACTTTTGTGGACAAAAATACACATGCCCCGTCCTTTCCATGCTTACCTGCGTTCCAGTTCTTTATCCCCCCCCCCTCGAAATATAGTTCATCCCGTCCCAAATTCACCAGTCGTATATAAACCAGCCTGCATCGTGCTAAACCCTCAATGTGAAATTGTCTTCATTCACTGGCTCACCCCCTCAAAGCCACAAAGTTCGGACTAAAATCTGACGACAGTGACAGTTGCTCCTCTGTGTGTGATTCGCGTTTGAGTTAAGAGATTTGAACCAAAACCTAGCAGCCACGATGCCTGTTCAGAAGGTGAAGGATTATCTGGGTTATTCTATGAACCTGTATGTTCATGAGAAAAAGCCGCAGTACTTTGGAATGTCTGAGTTTAGCCAAGATATGATGGAGAATATGCCGGTGAGTTGATTGTTAAAAAATGCACCGTCTTCCTTTTCCTTCCTCTCCTCATTCGCCTCATCCTCCGCTCCTAATTCTGATACTTTTCCCATTGTTCCTGCCACTACTCTTCCCTCTTCTCCTTCTTTGTCCTCGTCGACCTTTTCTTTCTCTTCTCCCTTCTTTGCTTATTTCTCCTTCTCCTGAACCCCTCCTCCTCCTCCTCCTCTTCCTCCTTTTTTCTTCTTCTCCTCGTCCTCCTCCTCCTCCTCCTCCTCCTCCTCCTCCTCCTCCTCATCATCATCATCATCATCATCATCATCATTGTTCGTGTTCGTGAAAAGCACAAAAATACAGAGAAAAATACAGTCGACTACGGATCACTTGATGTCGGGTGAGAAAAAAAAAAAAAGATCAAATCATCCGAAGTTCCACATAACCGTCGGGACCACGTAAACAAGGGACAGCTTCACATATATTAATAATTTTTTCTAGTAATATAATTTACAATAGTAAAAATGGCGGTCACAGGAGCAATCATTCACCTCGTTTCACACTGCGCGAACCCGCTCCTCTGAGAGAGAGAGAGAGAGAGAGAGAGAGAGAGAGAGAGAGAGAGAGAGAGAGAGAGAGAGAGAGAGAGAGAGAGAGAGAGAGAGAGAGAGAAGTCTTTGGTTTGGCGCACAAATTAACGCTCCAAATTTGACGCCCATCTCCGATAGGACCCACCCAGATTGGTGGAGAACCGTGAAAACTCATCACATAACCCAAGTCTAGGAACACCTCCTTGGAGATCCTAATTAGGGACGAAATACTATTGTCTAGTATAGTACTCGCTGAGCTATCAACCTGTTTCTCTCTTTTGCTCTCTCTCTCTCTCTCTCTCTCTCTCTCTCTCTCTCTCTCTCTTTTTTTTTCTTTCTTTCTTTCTCCACCCCCCCCCTCACCTTTTTACGTCATATTTTAAAAGGTAGGCTTATTTACACCCCATTGACAATAATTTAGATCATTTAGGAGGCAGGCTTCGGCCCTGACTATCAGGGCCAACCCTGTGAGAGAGGGATACCTGTACAAACGACCACTTATCATTTCTCCTCTTGCATATTATTTACACAAACTGTGCGTTTCATTATCACAAAAGGCCAGATCATGGTTCTCTGTTGACTTTCCCACTTGGATGCGCTAAAAATACCTATGCTATATTATTATCCTTGTGTTTTCCCGTCACCTACCTGCTAAGTTTTTCCAAATAAGTTTATCTAGCTCTACCCCATCCTCGTTTGCCTTCAATTTTTTGAATGAGAGATATATGTTCAAAACATATTTGCTTGTCAATACGTACATAATAATATGCACTCATATTAATAATAGTTCGATCGCCAATGTTTGACTATGGCCCACACATCCGCAGAAGAGCATATTATATCTCTAGCGAAATAGAAGAATTTGAAAAATTTTACGTTATGATAGTTTGTGGATTTGCTGCGTACTGTGACTGCTGCTCTACAGCTGGGTCTGTTAGAAGTCAGGCTCATCCATGTGGAGGTATCAATGTTGAAGTCAGTCAAGTATATTATGTATATTATTATACAACCAATATCTGTTCCTGACCTACTATGTCCCTTCCAGGACTGCCCACTCCGGGAGGATGACATCATCCTGTGCTCCTACCCCAAGTCCGGCTGTCACTGGGTGTGGGAGGTCTCCCGTCTCCTGGTGACTGGCAAGACAACTGCGGACAAAGTGGACAAAGAACAGTTCATGATGGAAGCCTCCAAATGTTTCGGTAATGGCGATATATCCGACCTTCCATCGCCTCGACTTCTCAACAACCATGAGGTGAGATTATTATTTTGTCAACGCTAAATGCTTTATGGGAAAATACCACCAGTAAACAATGACAATGACAATGACAATCGTTATTCATCTCGCAGGGAGAAATTTGTCTTGGTCGTTAACAATGTTTAGGGAACGTTTAGGGACCTGAGAAACAGGGGCGAAGGTTAACTTGTTTGACAGGGTAATCAAAGAGAGACAAAGAACCAGATACAGATAAGGCCACAAATGAAAATCTTCCCCACAAGGAGACCATAATAAGCAAAGCTTCGTATTCGAGGTGGCATCACTGAATTGTAAATGAAAACAAATCCTGAAAGTCATGCTGTTTGTTGAACCGTCAAAATATTCGATATCTCATTAATTTGTTATTACCACTTCAGGATGGAATGATTATCTCGAGATTTTTTCAAACAGTAAAATATGCAAATAAAGATGGGAATACCCAAACAAAAGCCAAAGAAACAGAAGTAACATAACTAAATATATAATGTTATCAATTTGGCTTCAAATTTGGCTGTCTTTATCTAGCCTTTCGCGGCCAGGAGTCGATGTAATATTATGCCATGAACCGATTACAGGGTGGTAAGAAATTGAGGTAAAAAAACAACACCCAAGCACTTATAGCAGTCATGAGATTGTTAGGAGTCAGTCCGCTCTCACCTTTCTGACGTAGACTCTGCCATTTTAATGTTAGCTTACAGTCATAATCAGTACTTGTGACTGATTATGAGAGTGGTCAAAGGGGGTAAACAGAGTACAGTGAAGTTGTTCCTGCATCAGATCCAGACATTGGGGATTGCCTTGTCAGTGAGGCAACTTTCTGGGCCTTCAGCATATTGTGGTAGTGTGGCCAGTTCCTTTCCCCGCCGTCTTTACTTCCCCAACTCGAAGTCTGGTACCCATGACTGCTTGGTGGGCAGGAGGGGGCGAAAAAAATCCGTGTCCGAACCGAGGCTCGAACCCGGACTTTCCGCTTTGCAGACGAGGGCACTAACCGCTCCGCCACCGCACCCTCCGTGAACCGAGTATTTATGTGGAAATGAAACAGTGTCGAGTGTAGTGCACACTGCTCATTAATGATTTCCTGAACGTCTATTACTATTTAAATGTATACGGCCATTTTCTAACAATGGTCTGCGGCCCAAACATTCGGAAAAAAACACCACGTAATTATAACCAATATACGGTGGGAATAATGGTCTCAAGATTTTTCAACAGTAAATTTAACTAAAGATTTGAATACACAAACAGAAGGCAAAGAAGGAGAAATGACAAAATGACAAATAATATATATAAATACTTTGGCTTTCAAGTTCGGCTGTCTTAGATAGCTATTCGTGGCCAGGAAATTATCTCATGATCTGATTTTTGAGCTGTAAAAAGTCGAGTTAAAAAACAAACAAACAAACAAACATGCGAAAAAACACAAAAAAACAAAAACAACAACAACAACAACAACAACAACAACAACAACAACCAATTGTTAGCTTACATAATCAGTGCTTGTGACTACTTATGACAGTGGCCCGAAAGGGATGAACAGGGTATTTCTGTTGCAATAAAACTGTTTTGAGTGTTGTGCACACGGCTCAAATTTAAATTATTTAAATTTATAAGGCTACGTCTATGGATGTATATCACGGCGACGATGCTCCCAAATTACAGAAGGGAAGCAGTAATTATTTGATAATGTAGACCCCTTGCCCCTGGTGCTTCTAGAGAGGTTTTGTTTTTGTGTTTTACGGCGCTCGCAACTGCATAAGGTCATATGAGCACGCTTCAAGAGAGTATCATGCAAAGAGAAGAAGGAGGAGAGATGAGGACGATGGATACTAGATCTGAAAAAAACGGCAAACCACTCAGAGCACCCGCCAACCACCTACATGTTTGTTGTTACCATGATTGCTTTCCATTTCCTCAGTTCTTCGAGAACCAGCCCAAAGACATCTTAAAGAAAGGCGTCAAGGTGATCCATATGTACAGAAACCCCAAAGACGTGGCAGTCTCCTTCTTCTACCACCATACTAGGATCCCGCCGTACGGATATAACAACACGGACTTCTCTAACTATCTGCCTAGGTTGGTGGTTTGTTTATATGTGTGTAATGTTTTACATGCCCTTTTTCTGTTTGTTTTGGTGTTTTACGGCGCTCGCAACTGGAAATAAATTTTGAATTTTGCCCAGGTGGCGGCCAAATCCTACTCTTATCGATTTTGGACCACCAAAGAATCTTTAACGTGCGCAACTTGCACACGGGACTCCGAGATTTTTAGCCCTTATCCGAGAAGGCTAGGTGTTAGATCTTGCTTACCCTAAGCTCAGGGTGTGGCTGACAGACAGCAGTAAGAAGAAACCAGGAGTAGTAGTAGAAAGGCTGCAGAAAGAGTCAGGGGCACAGAAGAGGGCTTGGGGGGGGGGGGGGGGCGAAAAAAGGGGGGGGGGGGGAAAAGGGGGGGGGGGGTCAGAAAATGGAGACGAAAGCATACGACTGAACATGATTAAAGACCAGGAAAGGAGGGGAAAGGAGGAAATTTTAGAGAAGAAAATTTTCCGTCGTTCTCATTTTTTGAACCCGGGACCTATTGAATGAGAGGTGAACACCGTAACCTCTAGACCATGAGAGTCCCCTGCCCTTTCAAAGTACATTTCGAAGGGAGTTAAAAATTTTACATAAAAACTGCATTAAAATTATAAGGCTTATATCGGTTACAAGAGGTTGAATCAAGTAAGAATTAATAGAGGAGTTTAGACGCGTTTTTTTTTTTACATTCCGTGCCAACACACAATGTTTTAGTATCTAAATCTCTGTCAGGCGGGGAACTGTTGGTTTTATAAACGTGTTTATTAATGTCTAGTTAAATGTCTTCTAGTATAGTATAGTATAAGGTTTTACGGCGCTCGCAACTGCTAAGGTGATATGAGCGCGCGAAACACAAGTTGTTCACTTTTGC